CTGAGAATATCCATAAACATCCTAAATTTACTGCTAATATTTTACTATCTTTTCTAATCAATCTTAGACTTTAAATGTGAAGGTTTCATTTTCCCAGTATTGAGATATAAAAAAATCTCCTGATGTCTCAAATTATCAAGAGATAACATACAGGAAACAAATGCAATCTAAAGCCTATTTTGTGGTTTGGAATGGAGAAAACCTGCATGTTAGACCCCACAGCGGCTAGCTCACATAAAATGGCCTTTCTCCAGGGGTTACTAACTTAGTCAAAATACAAGGAGTCTTCAAAAAGTTCATAAGATTTATTATCTTTTAATTCTATTTTTCCATGAACTTCGTGAAGTACTAAGTGCTTATACTCAAGAGAAAACTGTTCTTATAAGTAAATGTTCTCCACTACATATTGATGTAGTCAAAGCTACCTAAAAATAATTTTGTTCACTAAGAGTCATGGAGATTCTTTGTATATATATCATGTTTTAATTTCAAAAGCATCTAACTTATAAATATTAAATGGCTTTCAGTGAAAAGTCAGAGGTATTAAACATTAGTAATTGCTTTTTTTTTTTTTCCCCTTTTTGTCTTTTTTACTGACCGGTAACAGGATCGCAACCCTCAGTGTCGCGCCCGCACCGCGCTCAGCCAGTGAGTGGGAACCGGTCTCCACATGGGATCCGAACCCGCGGCAGGAGTGCTGCCGTGCTCCCAAGCGGCGCACTCTCCAGTGCGCCACCGGGATTCGCGCCCGCACCGCGCTCAGCCAGTGAGTGGGAACCGGTCTCCACATGGGATCCGAACCCGTGGCGGGAGCGCTGCCGTGCTCCCAAGCGGCGCACTCTCCAGTGCACCACCGGGCCGGCCCATAAAGGAAAATTTTAACTGTATAAATGAGTTTAAGTATTTGACCAAGGGCCCATAAAGGAAAATTTTAACTGTATAAATGAGTTTAAGTATTTGACCAAGTTGTAGACAAAATGGAGTCAAATCAAATATTTATCATCATCTTGACTTTACGTAAGAGTACCACACTGTGTCAAGCTGGGCCAAAAGAAAATAAGACCAAACAGAGAATACCCAACAGTTATTTCAAACAAAAAGTAGATACATTATCACATATTCCCTTTGTATACATTACTTAGTATTCATGACTTTATGAACTCCTTAAAGAATAGTGATGTGACATGTAAACTTTTAAGTCATGAAATCTTGGACTTTAAAAGGTGTTTTTCACATCCAATATAACTTATTTTAGAACTAACAAATTATTTCAAAAGATTATCTAAGTGTCACAAACAAGCAACATGTATATACTGTAATTTTATTTCAATCTCACAAACGAAGTTTTAGTGTGTAGGAAATTTAAATGAAAGTTACGGTAAAAACAGCAGAGATCTGAAAAACCTAAAAAGGAAATACACCTAAAGCATGAGAATTCAACATTCATGAGTGTTTCATCTTCAGTTTTGATTGACACTTGATGCTTGCAAGATTTTAAACAGACTTTTAAATCATGATGACTATTCTGAAGAGATTTCAGCACCAGCACTGAGGTTTGTACATTCAGTTTGCTTGCAATTGACTTGTTAGCCATTTACATAGTGTATAGTACAGATTTGTCATAGGTCAGATCACAGTGTTGAGGAAAGCAGTACCTTCCTGTAGTTAGAAAGGATCCCCTAAACTGTACTCAGCTTAAGACATCCAATGTACAAGAGCACAAAAACCATCAGAATAATGGGGGTCCAAGGAACATAGTTTTCATAAGGAAAATAACTTAAGTTTCTGTTTCCCACTTTAATTACTGAAATCTCTAACAACGACACAACTGCCATTAATGACAGCAAAAAATGTATACTGTAATTTGATCAAACTTGGAAAGAACACATTTAGCAATCTGAGATAATGCAAAATGATGGAAAATATAGCATGATTCAACACTGGTTCTTTTTTGTCAGTTTACACAGACATCATTTTAATATTAGACCAAGGCACAAAACGTTTAGTGCATAAACCAGTTTAAGATTTAGCATTTTATTTTAGTCTTTTATCTTACTTTGGACCTCTTGTACCCAGTACTCTACCTATTATAGACTATTTAACTTACCCAACAAAATCAAAAGTGATTTCTGACCAGATATGTAGGGGACATAAACATTTACATTGTCAAACTATTTGTATAACCAAAAGTACAATAATAAGGATGAAAATGCCTCCTATTTCTTTAGAAAATAGTACTTTATAACCTTGTTGCGCCTTAAATGCCTTTACTACTTACTATTGCATGACAATGAATACTTGACAGAAGAACTGTGTACTTGAATTATGATAGCTCATCCATCACAGTTTAATCTAAAAATGAAGTTTCTACAGAAACAGGAACTATTTTAACAAGGAAAATAAATTCCCTCATTCAAACTTCTTTGTAGTGGTAATGGCTGCTAGTCTGCAGTATTTAGAAAACTACGCTATCAGTGAGCTTTGTCTTATGAACTGAGATAAATGAAATCTAGAAAGCAGATGAAAGTGAATTATTTCTTCACAATTTTAGTGAAACTTCTGATAATCAAAAATTTCAAAGCAAATATGGCACATAGCAACTCAAGCATAAATCAAGATGGAGCCTGGAGAATTTCTGATTTCCTAAATTTTCCAAAAAGCTATCATTGCAACATGTAGAATTTCTCCCCTATTGTCTAATCTTACCAGTTTCAAAGAAAGGAAAAGGGAGTGGATTACATACACGCAGCACGCGTGCACACACACACACACACACACACAGACACACAAGGTGGTAAGTACAATATCTAGTTCCTTCTCTCCACGATGTAAGTCCCACTTTATTAAGAGAAAACTGCAGAACCCCTCGATGGTTTCCCTTTATCTATGACTTCTGGGACCCTTAACTGCTGCCATCACTGTTACTCCTTGTATTTCAACATAACAAAATTCAAAAGCAGCTTCACAGTCAGGAACATGTATGTACCTGAACACCTGTAACTGCAGGGGTACCAAGGTAATAATAACTGCCAAATTCAGTGATCAAACTTTTGAGTTCCACAATAAGATATAACTCATGTGAAGCTCAGAATCATGTTTCAGACCATTGAAATTACCAGTTAAGATACAAATAGCTGAAGACATGATGTAAAAGATTAAGTACTTTGTTTTGTTAACATATTTACCAATTAAAGTCACAAAATATTCCTCATTATTATTCATGCAGGTAATTGAGAAAAAATAGTGCAGAAATTAACTTTAAATAAAAAAATTATTCCTTCCCATCCTCCCACTCCCCTAATACTCTACAAAATGTTCTCCCTGGGACTAGGCCTTGAAAAGGCCACTACGTACTGTGTGACATGCATCACTGTCTGTGATTTAAAAAGCTAACTTTGTGGTGGTTGTAATCACATTATAAAAATGTCCACATGCATAAATCTAAAAAAGATTGAAAACCTACAGTAAATCTACAATATATTGTTTTACATTTGACCACTGGTTTGTGTTATGTAGAAGTCATAGATTTGGTAAAGCATTGTACCAATTTAGGAAGGCATCTAAATCTTTAAATTCTGGACGAATTTTATGTTTTAATCTACAAAATTGCATGAAGGCTAACTTGAAAGACTTCCTATCATTCTAAAATTCCTCAAGCTGGACAAATTATTTTTAGGACACTTTCTTATAAATATCACCCTTTGAAAACCCACACACTTCCATTTGTTCCACATTATATGGTCTTAACCTACACAGGGCTGATCTCAATTATTCATGGAATATCAAATATGATAGGAAGACAAACCTGAGAGAAACATTTACAATACAATAGCATAACCTGCTAAATTCTTCATCTGCACTCTGAAAGAAAACTTCATAAGCCTTTCTCCTCTTTATTTTAGCAATGGATTGTGGAAAATGTGCGATTTTATCTTGCCATGAAAATATCTCAATGAGCATTACTCTTGCCTGATGGGCTTAGTATTTCTGCATAATGGTTATAGGAACTCTTATACGACTCTTTTCCATCCTGTATAAAGGTCAGAAAAAAGCAGCAGACTAGGAGGAAAACAGCTCATCGCCAGAGTCAGGGCGTCTGAAGCTTCCAGAGTGCACTGCTTTTTCCTTCCTTCTGAGTGTTTGTCTCCGCTGTCTTCTCACAGCTCACAAAATGTAGGGGTTTGTTGTTAACAGCTGTGGTTGGTAGAAATTTTTTCTTCTTCTCCAGATTAAAGTCCAATCTCTCCTTCGTTTGTTTCTCTATGCAGTATTTGACTTGCTCAGTTCCTGCCTGATTGCTGGAGAGAAAAGGAGAGGTACTGAAATTAAATACAATGATAAAGTAAAATAAATGAGTGATTCGTTCTTAAGAAATCTTAAGGATTGTGTTCAAACCCACAGGAATAAACAGATACACCGATTTTGCATCCTACATGGCACAGACAGACCTTTGTTTTAATATTGCAAAGACGATAACTTCTATGTACGTGTATTTACTTATTTTCCCCCTTTATATACAAAATAAAAACACTGATTCTGTGGCTCAAATACAAGAGGGCAGTGGGATGGACTGAGAGAGGTACATTAGGGAAGGATGTGTTCATCTGGTTTTCCATCTAGTCATAGTCAACATCTAAAACCTAAGGGTTATTTTCCCCCTTTATATACAAAATAAAAACACTGATTCTGTGGCTCAAATACAAGAGGGCCGTGGGATGGACTGAGAGAGGTACATTAGGGAAAGATGTGCTCATCTGGTTTTCCATCTAGTCATAGTCAACATCTAAAACTTAAGGATCTCGTTTATCCCTATTTTACAAATAGTTTCCATTACATGAAGGAGAGAGCTCCTCCCTGACATCCTAAGCCAAGAGAAGGACACTATGGAAAAGTAACTGCTCTCATGTAATAAACTGGATATTTCCTTATTCACGTATTTGTAAAAATGGCCATTCTTAAACATTATTTTCAAAGGGTAGCAAATTTGTTCAGACACTTACCATCAATGAGCTCTTCTTTTAGTTTTGTTAATTCTTTTCTCATTTCATCTAAAATGTCCTAAAATATTAGAGAAAAACATTAGGTATACAGAATAAAAAAGACTTTCTTTAATATTGCATACTTCAGAAAAAATTAAATTGCTCTTAACACATTCAGGCCATAAAAAACAAAAACAAATTAAATTACTATTAAGGTTCTTTCTTTTAAAAGATTGTATGAATAAAACAACAAAAGCAAAAACAGACAAATGGGATTAAATATATCAAACTGAAAAGCTCCTGCACAGCAAAGGAACCAATCAACAGAATGAAGAGACAACCTGCAGAATGGAAGAAAATATCTGCAAACTGTTCATCCAACACAGAATTAATATCGAAAATATAAAAGGAGCTCAAACTCAACAGCAGAAAAACAACCTGATCAAAAAATGGGCAAGTGAGCTAAATAAACATCTCTCAAGAGAAGATATGCAAATGCCCAAGAGGTATATGAAAAAATGCTCAACATCTCTAATCATCAGGGAAATGCGAATTAAAACCAAAATGAGATATCATCTCATCCAGTAAGAATGGCTATTATCAAAAAGACTGAAAATAACAAATGCTGGTGAGGATGCAGAGAAAGGGTACTTTTATATGCTGTTGGTTGGAATGTGAATTAGCAAAGCCATTATGGAAAACAGTACGAAAGTTTCTCAAACAACTACAGACAGAACTGCAAAAGATCCAGCAATCCCACTACTGGGTATATACCCAAAGGAAAGGAAATCAACATGTTGAAGGGATACCTGCACTCCCATGTTTATCATGGCTCTATTCACAGTAGCCGAGATTTGGAACCAACCTAAATATCCATCGACAGATGACTGGATAAAGAAAATGTGGCATATATACACAATGGAATACTACTCAGCTATAAAAAAACAATATGTTGCCTTCTGCAGCAACACGGATGAGCTTGGAGAAAATTATATTAAGTGAAATAAACCAGGCACAGAAAGAGAAGTACCTCAGGTTCTCATGCATACGTGGAAGCAAGGGGAACAGGGAGAGGGTGGTCAATACAAATTGTAGCTGGACAGGAAGAATAAGATGTATTCTAACAGTGTACCCCATAAACATATACGACTATCTTGGGTTAATTAAGAAAAAATAAATTTTTAAAGAAGTTGAGGTCACAGAAGTAGAATGCAGAACTGTGGTTACTAGAGGCTGGGAAGGGTAAGGGGGCAGTAGGGAGAAACTGTTTAATGGATACAAATGTACAGCTAGACAGGAAGAACAAGTTGTAGTGTTCTACAGTACTGTTAGGTGACTATAATTCACAACAATTTATTGATATTTTCAAATAGCTAGAAGAAAGGATTTTAAATATTCTCAACAGAGAAAACATAAATGTTTGAGGTGATAGATGTGTTAATTATCCTGATTTGATCATTGCACACTTTATACCTGTATCAAGATATCACTTTCTATCCCATAAATATGTACATTATGTGGCAATTACAAAAATAATAATTACAAAACATTATATAAAAAAGCACTTCATATTTAAAATAAAGTTAAAAACTATCAATTAGTTTAATTTTTTCATTGGAACAATAAGGAAACTGAGGTAAAGAATTTATCATATGGATGAATAAATAACCTTATTCAAATCAATCTTCAAATTACTCCCCAAATCAAATCTACTCCCCTCTTCTGTTCCATTACTGTAGATAACCAAGAATTTACCATATTTTCAAGTGTGTGCAAAGTGCTCTATTTGAAAGCATTTTCAAGAAGAGAAATTCAATACATAGCAATACAAAGGCTTGATTACCAATGCCAAGATGCTTACTTTTCAAATTACATAGCTCAATTTAACTTTTCAAATAGCTTTGCAGTATAAAAATTGGGTTTGTCTAAAAAAATTATTTTACCTCTTCTATGAAGAAAATATTTTATTATTTTTTTTCTTTGTCTTTTTTTTTTTTTCGTGACCGGCAACGGATCGCAACCCTCGGTGTTGCGCCCGCACCTCGC